ACATCTTCACTGGTTTCAAACTCAACATTTGATAAATCTTCTGTTTGAGCGACGCGACGTGATTTTACTTCCGCCATTTTTGTCTATTTTTGTTATATTTTCATTTTTGTCTATTTGCCAAAGAATAACGGTGAATACGATATGCACTTCTAGCAAGTTAGGGAACTTTACACACGAAAGTTAAAATTCTTGTTTACACTGTCCGATAAAACTTGTTATAATTATCCTATAGATTCATTAAAATTTCATTATCCAAATTAATTTCCTCTTACTCACACTACTATAAATCCATACGTACTAAAAGAATACTTAAAACACAATTAAACTGTACAGTCATGGCTCACCTTAGTGAGCAATTCTGCTTCACCATAGTAAGCATTTTTATCCTCGCCATTTTACTGCACACCCGGTCCTTAGAAAGAGAACGGCTGATGATCGAGAGAGACAGAACGAAAGCAGCGGCTCTATGTTGAGTGTCCACTCCAATGAAAACTTAGGCCGTCTCATTTTACTGTGCTTGCGGTCTCATTCTTTTCGCTTTTATAAGACAAAAATTAACACGAAATCTAACTGTACCGAATATTGGAATGGAAATAAGAAATGACAGAAACAAATTATTAGAAGTGTGAGAATTTGTAGGAAAGGGGAAAATACTATGGTTTGAATATGTAATGTGCTTTTCGAATGCCTTCCGTGAACACTATTGGTGTAAATAAAAATATTTTGCATGCCAATTAGTTTGTGGCGAGGTTCTAATAGGGGAAACTATGTATATACACATATACATAATCTTTACGCTCGGAGGCAAGCTGTGGTCATAGAACGTTTCTTCGAGGTGGAACTTTTGTGATACTCACGAACGAACTTCCCGTGCACAGAACTTTGTTGTACATCCAGTGCACAACGTATAGATTTGTGTCTTCGCATTACGAACACAGGAAAATAAAAGATTATTTCACAGTTTTCACCTATTCCTATTTTATCTTCTACTTCTACCAATTGTGTTTTATTCCCAATCTCATACTATATTAAACGAATGTGTCGAATAAAAAACAATCACAGAGAAGTAGAAATTTATATAGTACAAATCTAAAACATGAACAAATGTTCATCCCAAGTAACGTATGAGGGTTACTAAGGAAGAACTTGTGATCATTATAGTAATTAATTAATAGTAAAATAAACATTAATAAATAATTTCTTTATCTGGAACGTTCAGACAGGGTCACTCAAATTGACGATTCGACGACGAAAAGATTGAAGGTTCCAACTTTTGACAAGAGTTTCGTTTCTGGTATAGTTTATTCCGTGACGGAGAGACAGCATTTTAACGCGCATCCAGATCCGCGCAGTTGGTTTAAAAAGAAAGCGGGAGATGATTGAAAGACAGAAGAAAACCAACGGGCCGTATGCGGGAGTGTCCACACCGGCGAGAACTTAGGCCGTCTCGCTTTACCATGCTTGCGATCTCACCCTTTTCGCGCATCCGTTTGCCTGATGCTCCATCTGAAACACGCGGCGCGATATACGATTTATACTTTTTGCCCCATGGGAACACAAGAGGTTTTTGTCGCTTCTATGATTCGATTGGAAAAGTCATGAAGGTCGAAAAGTCTTAGCATGTGTGAGCGTTCGGACAAGAAGATTATTGTTGGTTAGGTGTGTACTTTCTTCCTCGGAACTATTATTTCATTTGTTTTTTAATTTGTATTATTAACAAGCTGCCACTTTTTTTCGACACACCCTCCAGAATAATGTCATTACATGAAAAAATAGTCTACGCAAAATCTGAAATTGATCGGACAATAGGAAGTCATGCCGCATCGAATTTGAAAATTCTTTTTAATTTTTATAATTCATTTTTCACCGTTATAATCTATCGCCATGATACATTCTTGTACCTCTTTGGTTTTGTCCTTTCACACTCCATACGAATATAGAAACTAAATATGATTGCGTTAAAAAGAAAATCATGATTTTGAAATTTCAAACACAGATTGAATTTGGTGTACCGATACTGAGGACGAATGTAACGTCTAGTATGTCGAACAAGATATCACACCAAGGCCATCTAAATATCTAAATACTTTGATTTTGTACGCAAGGAGTTCGTAACGTACGAATACTCTTGTGAGGCTAATTTCGTTATATGTAATGTACATAAAATTACATTTTATTCTGGCATCGACATTCTCACTTCTGGAATGAATAAGGACGTACTTTTCTGCTTGCATGAATTTGAGGCCCTGAAAATAGTCGTAGTTATTAAACAGTGGAACTATATGCATAGAAAAGGTTATTGTTTCTCTAATTACTAATTTAAATATGTATTAAATATGTATTCTAAAACAATATGAATGCAAGTTTCAGCTTTGTTTTTCAAATTTT